TCTGTTTACAACATGGTTTACTGAATATTTTAAGTGCACTGTTGAGACCTACTGCTCAGGAAAAAAGATTCTTTTCAAAGTATTACTGCTCACTGACATTGTATTTGGTCTCCCAAGAGCGCTGACAGAGATGCACAGGCAATTAATGTTATTTTCTTGCTTGCTTAACACAACATCCATTCTGCAGACCATGGATCAAGCCACCATACATAGCGATTCCTCTGATACATCCGAAGTAAATCAAAAACTTTCTGGAAAAGATTCACCATTACTTTTAAGTGTAGTATAGCTGAATATATATATTCTTTTGCATATTCTTTTCCATTATGGTTTATTACAGAATATTAAAGATTCACCATTGTATTAATAGATGATATTGAGAATCTTCATAAAAAATTTAAATTGAAAAAAAGAAACTTTTTGATTCACAGGAAGAGGTCAAAATATCAACAGTAACAGCAGTTTGGAAGAGACTGACTCCAATCCTCATGGATGACTTTGAGGGGTTCAAGACTTCAGTGGAGGAAGGAACTGCAGATGTGGTGGAAATAGAGAACTAGGGTTTGAAGTTGAGCCTGAAGATATGACTGAATTGCTGCAATCTCATAAAACTTTAATGGATGAGAAGTTGCTTCTATGGATGTATAAAGAAAGTGGCTCCTTTAGATGGAACTTATTCTTGTGAAGATTCTGTGAAGACTGTTGAAATGACAACAAAGAATTTAGTCTATTACATAAACTTAGTTGATAAAGCAGCAGATTAACTTAAATTTTGAAAGAAGTTCTACTGTGGGTAAAATACTGTCAAACAGCATCACATGCAACAGAGAAATCATGAAATGAAGTCAATTCATGTACCAAACTCCATGTTTGCTGTCTTATTTTTAAAAACTTCCAGTCACCCCAACCTTCAGCAACCGCCACTCTGATCTGTCGCAGCCATCGACATCCAGGCAAGACCCTCTGGGACCCCCCTGGCGGTCTGGTGGTTAAGACCTCGCCTCCCAAGGCAGGGGGTGCGGGCTGATCCCTGGTTGCGAAGCTAAGATCCCACATGCCTCATGGCCAAAAAACCAGAACATGAAACAGAAACAATACTGCACAAATTTAAGATTTTAACAATAGTGAAAGTCACTCTGTTGTGTCCAACTCTTTGCAACCCCAGGCCAGAATACTGGAGTGGGTAGCCGTTCCCTTCTCCAGGGGATCTTCCCAACCCAGGGACTGACTCAGGTCTCCGGCATTGCAGGCAGATTCTTTGCCAGCTGAGCCACCAAGGAAGCCCAGATTTCAATGGTCCACGTCAAAAAAACCTTAAAAAAAAAGAAAGACCCTCCACCAGCAAGAAGATTGACTTGCTGTAGTCTCAGATGATGGTTAGCACTTTTTAGCAATTAAGCATTTTGAATTAAGGTATATATTGTTTTTGTAAGACAGCATGCTATTGCACACTTAATAGACTATAGTATAAACATAACTTTCATATGTACTGGGAAACCAAGAAATTCCACGTGACTCACTTAATTGCAATATTCACTTCACTGCAGTGATCTAGAACCAAACGCACAATAATCTCTAAGACATGCTTATAATTCACTTTTTTTTACAAGAACTGACTCTTCCTCAGACTCAAACCTTAAGAGGACATGTTTCAAACGACTATATAAAAATAGATTAACAAGGTCCAAATGTATAGCACAGGAAACTATATTCGGTATCTTATAATAAACTACAATGGAAAAGAATCTGAAAAGGTATATATTTTGAATCACTTCATTGCACAACAGAAACATCATAAATCAACTATACTTCAAAACATATATGTGTATGTATGTGTATATACATTATATATTTATATTATATAATCATACATATTTATATATGTGTGCTTATATAAGATTAATATTTTATATAAAATACTTACATTTCTATAATGCCTGCCAGGCATTGCCCATTTGTTTCTACAAAGATTATAAAGGAAGTTGTCCCTCTCCCAACCCCCAAATAGGTACTGTATTTTACTTCTGGGTATCCCACACTCTCTTTGGCCACTGGCAACTACTGTTGCTATATCATCTCTCAAAAGTCCAGGTATAATCCTCATGACCAGCTGATGCCAATAAGCTTTTATTTCCTCTGCCCACCTCCCTCAAGTTTCTTATAAATTGTTACACTTCAAATCAGTATCTCAGAAAAGTGTTCCTAAACAAGTCAGAAAAAAGGGACTTAAGGGGGTTTATATCCCCTTCTTCCTTCAAAGCCAGTAAAAATGCATCAAGTCCTTTCATCACATCACTCTGACCTCCTCTTTCCCCTCCCTCTTCCACTTTTAAGGACTCCTTTGATTACACTGAGCCCACCCAGATAATCTGGGATAACCTCCCCATCCCAGGACTTAAACCATTACAATAAAATTTACTCCCAATCCTACTGCTGTATCTATACAATAGATTATTTGCCAACACAGAAGAATGAAATACTGATACACAGTATAAGAATGAACCTTAGAAACATTATGTTAAGTGAAAGAAGCCAGTCACCAAAGGCCACATATTGTATGATTCCATTTATATGAAACATTCAGAATAGGCCACTTTACAGAAAGATCAGTGGTTGCTTAGGGCTGGGAAGAAAATGGCAACCCACTCCAGTATTCTTGCCTGGGAAATCCCATGGACACAGGAGCCTGGCGGGCTTCAGTCCATGGGATCACAAACAAGCTGGGCATGACTAAGCAACCAAACAGGGCTAGGAAAGCAGGAGCGGGATAATGGGGATTGAGTGCCAATGTGTACAGGATTTCTTTTTAAAGGGCATGAACATATTTTAAAGTTAGACTGCAGTGATTATTGCACAGCACTATGAATATTTTTAAAAGCTGCATACTTTGAATTGTGTAATATGGGAATGATGTCTTTAAAATGCTACTGTAACTATTTATTCTGGCTACCACTAAACAGTTATTGTGTACAAGAAACCTTAGAGGCCCTATTATCACCTAATTCTTAACTCTGGGAGGTCCATTTCTCATCTTATAGATAAGAAAATAGGTTCAGTAAAATTAAAAATTTACACAAAGTTACAGAGCTAATCAGGAATAGTGCCAGATATATTTCTCTAAAAAAATGTCTCTAAAGTCCATGCTTTCTAAGTTATGCCATGTTTGCCATCAAATAATTTATTGGAAATAGTTGAGTATCATTTACATACAAATGGCCTTGAAAAAACATGCATTTTGTTACTATCACTGGTGGGAATAAACTTTTTGACGTATCAATGATAAAAAATAAGGCTTGACACAGGGAATTATACCCATTATCTTGGGGGGGGGGGTGTGTATCTGTATCTATAATGGAGTATAATCTGAAAAAAAGTAACATTGAATCATTACTCCGTGACCATGAAACTTAATACTGCAAATCAACTATACTTCACTAAAAGAAAAAAATGCTTCAAAGGTTAAGCGTCAATGTGTTACTTAATTCAAAATCCATATCTAGGAAACAAATGCCTCTGGAAAAAACTGAAAGTAATTACAGTCATATAATTGGTTCCTTCTCTTTCAATTTATGCAAAGATAGACCAGGAATGTTTTCAAGATACAGATATGTGTCATTTTTGAAATTAATGCCTCTAGAAACTTTGGCTCTCTATTTATATTAGTAGAAACACCAGCAAATTATAAATAAACAAAAACCATCATTTCTTTAAACTACATTCATTAAGCAAAAATATTCCTTTATTTAGACTTACATTTAGTTTTTCATCCATATATTTACAGGAATTTACAAACAGTAACTTACTAGCTATTCCAGAAAGGTAAGTGGACCAAAAAAGTATAAGAGGAGGAAATACAGATATGATACTAATGGTATACTTCTTCACCTGAATTACTAAACTATCTATTTAATTGTTACATTAGTCTATTTGTTGCTGTAACAAATTATCACAAACTCAGTGGCTTAAAACAACACAGGTTTATTACCTCCTGGTTCTGCAGGTCTGAAGTTTGACAAGGGTCTCACTGGGCTAAACTCCAAGTCCTGAGCTTAGCCTCCCTCCCTGAGCACTAGGGGAGAACGCTTCCTCGTCTTGCCCACTGCCTAGAGGCCACCTGCACGCCTTGGTTCCTGTCCCCTTCCTCCTTCAAAGCCAGGAACAGTGGGGCAAGTCCTTCTTCCATCACCTCACTCTGACCTCTCCTTTTACCTCCCTCTTCACTGTCAAGGACCCTTATGATTGTACTGGGTCCAACCAGATAAGCCAGGATAACCTCCCCAACCCAGGACTTCAAATTAAGGTTCTTAAATCATATCTGCAAAGTCCTTTTGTAATATAACAAAACATATCCACAGGTTCTGGGAATTAAGACATTGAAATCTTTAGGTTAACTATTATTCTGCCTGTCAGAGTTGCCCTTATCTTCAAAGAAATCAGGATATACCCACAGGAAATTTAGCCTAAACTGGAGGAGCCATGAGGCACACTAATGATTTAAATGGAGTATGTAGAATTTGGATGAAGAATTCCTCCTCTGTGTTGTCTTATTTCTACTGACACTGTATTTTGAAGATGAACTATAATTAGATATATAGAATAACAGGAGAAAAAGGTTGCTATTCAAAACCATGATAAGAAATAGAAGTATCTAAATCAATCTCTCAATTTTTAAACAGGAACAGAAGCCAAAAAAAGCTTATTCTGCATTTTCTTTCTACACATTGTTCTGCCATAGCACTCAGCAATGACCATTAATACAATGTCCACAGATTATATCATAAAATTGGATGTTGTACTATTAATAATTCGAACTACAGAAGAGGTAGCTGGGAAGACTATATACTTGGATATACTGACAGTGAGTTTTTATGAACCTTTAAAATAAAATATCCAAAGGCACACTACATATGTATATGTGGTTAAAAACACAAATCTCTCCTTTTTGAAAGGTCCAAATTCAAAATGAAATAATATCACTACATTAGAAGACTGACTTTTGCTTAATTCTCCAGAACAATGTTCTGCTCAATATATAACTTTTTCAATTTAGCATTATATCTTTTTTGACTCCAAGACAGAAGGCTGATATTTGATGTGCTCAAGTCATAGCCAATGTTTACCAATTCTTTGATTCGACTCTTTAAAGTACTTATGCTTGAATCCAAAATCCGAGGATGTTCAATTATTTGTGAAATGTTAACTTTTTCTTCTATGAGGCAGTCTATCTTATCATTAAACTTCTTCTCTCCCAAGAAGATCACATCTGGATAGCTCAAAACAAACTTCCGTGTCTCTTTCGCAGTACACCCAAGCGAGATCAGTTTTTCTTTGACATTTCTGTAGCTTCTCCTCATGCAGTCACTGGAAAGGCCTAGGATTTTAGCTCCTGGGCCGCATATCAGACTAAGCAGCTCCTCGTTATTCAAGCAGAACGTGGACTGTAAGAATTCAATATTAGTTTTTATCCGTTTGGTGCTCTGAATTAAGATGAAAGGGTTCTTAAAAATTATCTTCCTGACAAAATCTGTGGGACCACTGTGACCCAACGACAAACAGACTTCTTGCAAAAATTCAACCATCTGTTTATTCAGATTAAGACTATTGGAGAAGGTACGCGGAGCATTGGTCAACAATCGACAAAGGTATTTATGGGTCAATCCAACTGAGTAGAGGAACTTTATGTTATTCTCTAAGTTCAGGTTGTCACTGGACCGAAAAAAAGATTCAGGAGAACGTTCCAAAATATTCACAATTTCAAGGTCTGATGTCACAATTCTTCTCCACAGATCCCATCGACTTGAAAGACTTTCAGGCGTGCGAGTCATGGCTCGTGGGTATCTTGATATGATGCTAGCAATCACTTCTTTGCTGGCTCCTTTAGACAGAAGGAATGTCTGCAGGTCCTGCTCATTAGTATCTGTCCTGTTAAAAACTCCAGGCTGTCGCTTCCTTGCCATGTCAACATCTACTCCCATGGTAAGTAAGTTATTCAGCAGTTCCTCATTTTCCAAAGGTTCACTGTCTGCATTATCACATTTCTTACTGAAAAGCCTAAATGAAACCGATTTAAAGATGATTTCTGTTGAAAATCGGATCATCCAACATCTTGAACCAAAGAGATAGTTACTTCTCACATACAAGAGGTTTCTTGGTGCCATAATGGTCAGGTAGCCCAAACCGTATGGAATGCTGTATAAAACAACATATACAGTATTACACAAACACACATGTTAAACAGCTAACAGATTTTATCATGATCCTGTATTGTGGTCATTTCTGTAAGGAAACACTAGAGACCCAGCTCTCCTGGTTCTGTGATAACAATCTCCCCACCACACTCCCACTCCCTGGCTCACCACTTCCAATTATCGGTGGGCCAGGGGCCACTTCTAGTCTTAACATAAATAAAAGCAGCACACAGCAATAACACTGCCCCAGAACGATTCTTGCCTCGACTGACTGTCTGGTCCTGCCTGCACTGGCTACCCAAAACCAACTGCCCCTGTGCATCTCTGCTTTATCTAACTGCTTTCCAAAGCTTTGACTTATTTTTACTAACTGATGCTTTCAATTCTGCCTTGTCTTCCAACTTCCCAGATTCTTGGCCTTGCATTTGCCCACAGATACCAGCCTTCTTTGCCTCTTGCTCTCACTTTTTGGTTATCAAACTCTAAATCTAGCCCTGAAAACCAATACTTCATACTATGCTATTTCCACCCTAAACATCTTTTTCTAGGTTCATGGTATTTTTTAAAGCCATCCTTAATTTTTATCCTACATGGATCTCTGGTCAACAGCCCTGATCCCAATCTCCATGTCACTCAATGTACCCTAATGCTCCCTCGGTTGTTGGGTTAACCCAACAACTGCAAACCGATTTTCACTTCATTATGACCCAGTTGGGATATTTCATACACAGTGTCCACGACATGTGGAATTATACAGAGAAGTGAGATGTACACATTTAAAAACTTACTTTTGCCATTCTCCTTACCACCATTTTACAAAAGACTAACTCAAGGCTCTCTGCATCTGCTTCACAATACATATAACTTTGATCAAAAGATTAAAACCTTGACAACTCATTTTCCTGATCATTTAGAAATGGGGCATAAAATGTATGAACTTATACATGACAATAATCATAGGTCCCTATTAAAACAAATATCTCTGTTTATAGAAGTATTTTAACAGAAAAGCAACAGAAAAGTTTTTGTCTTGCTATCCAAATTGTCAGATGATTTATGCTCCTAAATTGCTTATGGTCTGAGTCATACAATACATACCATTTTTTTGTAAAGTGTTGTACATAATAATTTACCAGTACTTTCTCCTTTTCAGACTATATAGCTTTGACAAACTGCTCTTAATTTCTAATTACTTACAATGGGCTCTTATTACTTAAAAGAGGGTTCTTCCCCTTCCTCTCTCCTAATTAAGCATAAAACAAAGAATAGAGATAGATGGCTCCAACTCACTGCTACTATCTCTGGGCTTGAGATGCTGCTTTCAAGATCCATAAAAGAAAAGTTCCTCTGTGCCTATCCTTTTAAATACTCCAATTTAACAAGAACTTGGATTATGCCTACTGGCTAGGAACATTCTAATAACTCAGATAATCCATTAATCCTCAAAGAATTAGGAAAAGATTCCAAAACTATAGACTCAAGTAACATTCGAACAAAATGCAGGTCACTCACAAAGTAAACAGGAAACAGCAAAAGCATGTTTTAAGACTGCCCTATACCCTGAGTTCATTATTCTTCATGTCTTCATAATAACATACACTCTGTAACTACATAATCTTCCAAAAACACATGAAGACACAAACTTAAAAGTAAGAACCTCCTAATTAAAAAAAGAGGCTTTACGCTGCCCAGCTCAAAAACCTCCTCTCTTCCAGATGCTCAGAGTGAGCTCTGCTGGGTAAAGGGACAGAACACTGACAGCTCTGGATAAAACCAGCGCTTCCCAAAGAGTGCTTGTGAGACGACCCAATGGGATATAGGAAGAAACCAGTAAAGCTCCAATTTATACTTGTCTTGGCCTTTTAAATTTTCTACCTTTTACATGTTTCATAATTATACAACATAGTAATAACAGTACCATAAGACATGTATATAACTAGTCAGTAAATATACATAGGTTAAAGGTACATTTATAGACCTTTTTAAAATTAAGATTGTATATGATCAAAAATGTCTAAGACTACTCCTTTAGACCACACTCTACTCTTGAGAAACAGAGCTGAATGAGTCACAGTAAGTTCAAAAGAAATTCTACTGACGACAAGCCAAAAGTAAAAATATATGCCAAACATCTTAACAAAAGAATAAGAAATTAAGACTTCTGGATCTGTTATAGGTGGATTTGTCTTTGTGTATAATTCATTCTCCATGGACATACCTTTCACACAAATTAACAAGTCCAAAACCAAACTGAGCATCCTTCCCAGCCCCCAAACAAACGAGCCCCCCTCTAATTGATGAAATCACCATTACTCTCATAACAAGAAATGTGAAAGTAAGCTTTGCTTTTTTCTTCTTGTCCTCGAACCCAGAGTCATTCATTCATGTAGACTCTGCTCCTTCAGTATCTCTGAAATCCAATCTCTCTACTCTTCGCTAATTCTCTCACTCAAGACTATCAGTCGCTTAACTCCTTTCTCTAATATCAGTCACTCAAAAGTGCCCCCCACAGAACACTTATGAAACAAACATGTGGTCATGTCCCTCACTTCCTGATTAGACACCTCTGTAGCTCTCCCCTGGAAGGTAAAATCTTCAGACTGGCCTTTCTAGCTAGCTCTTCTATTTTGCAATCTCACAATGAAACACCATTGACTGTTAAGTCTCTGGTCCTAGACATCCTTGACCATTCTTGTCTTCCTGCGTTTTTAAATCCACTCTGTCTTTCAGAAAGGCCCATCCTCCTAAATCTACCCATAGTACAAGATTCCATTCAAACAGTATTTTCCCACAATTCTTTAACTTAACAAATACTTCATGGTGAAGTGAATCATTTGTTTTATAGTAATTCATTACTAAGGAGCCTAAAATTAAGTCTTCTATTTAAATAGGAAAAAACTGAACTGGCCACAAAAATTTGGTTTTGATTACAATATTATAAATGAAAAAGTTGGAGCTCCCCCCCACCAATATCAATAGTATGGGCAGGATCAGCTAAACCTAAAAACAATGGTAACTAACATCAACAATTGGTAAACATAGGAAGAAATAAGAATTCTAAATATCACTGTTGGAAGGGAATTTATTACCATCTATTGTATCTTTGAACCCAGCATCTCTACTTCATGAAGATTATCCAAAGGAAATGAAGGACAAGAATGCACATTTGTTACTTCACAGAAAAAAAAAAAAAAAGAGCATTATAATAGTTTGTGAGAGTAAAAAAAGAAGGAACCCAAATGGCCACCAAGAGTAGAATGATTTAATAAACAGTGGTACATCACTACAATGAGGCTTCCCTGGTATCTCAGAGAGTAAAAAACCTGCCTGCAATGCAGGAGACCTGGGTTCAATCACTGGGTGGGGAAGATCCCCTGGAGAGGGGAATGGCTACCAACTCCAGTTATCTTGCCTGGAGAATTCAATGGACAGAGGAGCCTGGTGGGCTACAGTACATGAAGTCACAAAGAGTCCCACAAGACTGAGTGATTAACACACATCAATATAACATTACACAGCCTACTCTTTAAAAAGAGGCAGATCTAACACAATAAAAATATGTCCTAGGCATTCTAAGTGGCAAATTGCTTAAAAGTGTGACTAGGATAATATCACTCACATGAAAAGGGGAAAGGGACATACACACAGAGAGGGGATAAAAATGGGGGAAGTTATTTTTCAGGTTTCAACACAAAAAAGTTACACCTGCTAAATATCAATGTTATTTTACTCTTTTAGCACCCAATCTCCCTTCAAAATAGTCCTATGACACCTAGTGTGGTGAATAAATATTTAAGCAGCCTAATGCAAGTAGTATCAACTGACTCAATCTATAAATTTAAAAATAATTAATATTCCAAGTTATTTCCATCTGTCTCTCAATTGACGTTTTTGATTACCAGAGCCATTACTCCAAGTGTTAAAAGCCAAAGTTAACAAATACATGGAAAACCTCTGTACTTGTGAGGTCTAAGGGATAAAAGTGAGTTTATGTTCCCCTCTGCTCCACAATTCCCAGGACAAGGGGGCTTTGGATGGAAATGGGTAATCTCTGGTTACACGGTACTGCATTCCAGTTAGTCTTTCGACAAAACGAGCTAAGTTTGAAGATCTTTACAGAAATTCATTTCTCACCTCATCTGTCTCAAGGACAGAGGACGTTGCGTTCCTCCAGAAAAGCGGAAAAACTGTTGTCCCTAGAAACAGAAAAAATAAAGGGGGACAAAATGTTGTCAGGACTCCGTAATACAGAAAAAAGATCAATCTCACTTAACAGTGCATAATGTTTTCGTAAAATGCATAATTTTCAGCATACTAAGCATATCTCAGAGATATTGGGAAGAAAATGCTAAGTACAAGCCCGAGGATGAAGGGGGAAAAGCAGCAGAATCACGAGCATAATTTGCAAAACCCAGAACTAAGTGCTTCACACACAGCATCTTACTTAAAAGGTAGGCATTATTCCTAAAATTACAAAATGAGAAAAAGTGCCGAGCTCCCTTACTAGCTTGACTTAGCTGGTGGAAGAAAGGTTCGAACCTACGCGGGTCTGTAACTCAAAAACTCTACGGTATTTCTACGAGTTCCCTTCCGCGGGTTCTTCGGTCCCTCGTCCTCCCACAAGGAAAGTCAGCCAGGGACTGCGCGGGAACGGGACTCAGTTACACATCACAGCCACCCAGACCCGACTCTAAAAAGAAAAGGCACAGCAGCAGCGAGTCACCAACCTCAACCTGGAATACAACAGGGCACGGGAAAAACCCTTGCCTGTCACCTCTGCAGTCACGCGAGAAACAGGGGGACGGAAGTGGACAGAAACAACTTCCGGTGACGGGCCGCGCATACAGGTGACGTCACGCCCCTGGCACCACCCCGCCCCCGCGGCCGCGCGAAGCTTAGCATAGCCTGACGCTGGGTCCCGGCAGGGGGCAGCAGGAGACCGCGGTGAGCGCCTTCTGGGAGTATTTCGGAGGCCGAAACGGGACTCGGGGGAGCCTTCCAGCCACCCGGCCAGAGGCCCTGAGTTGCTGCTAGGCACCGACATGAAATGGGAAAATCACTATTATATACATGAATTTTGTAGCGTGATAGGTTGATTACGCTCATTTATGTGATTAACATGATGTAGATGAAAACTTAAGCGTTTCAGTTCAGTTCTCTTCAGTCGCTCAGTCGTGTCCGATTCTGCGACAACATGGATGGACTGCAGCACGCCAGGCCTCCCTGTCCATCACCAACTCCTGGAGTCCACCCAAACACATGTCCATTGAGTGGGTGATGCCATCCAACTATCTCATCCTCTGCCATCCCCTTCTCCTCCTGCCCTCAATCTTTTCCCAGCATCAGGGTCTTCTCAAATGAGTCTGCTCTTCATATTCATTCTTTTTTTTTTTTTTTCCATTTATTTTTATTAGTTGGAGGCTAATTACTTTACATCATTGCAGTGGTTTTTGTCATACATTGAAATGAATCAGCCATGGATTTACATGTATTCCCCATCCCGGTCCCCCCTCCCACCTCCCTCTCCACCCCATCCCTCTGGGTCTTCCCAGTGCACCAGGCCCGAGCACTTGTCTCATGCACCCAACCTGGGCTGGTGATCTGTTTCACCCTAGATAATATACATGTTTCAATGCTGTTCTCTTGAAACATCCCACCCTCGCCTTCTCCCAGAGTCCACAAGTCTGTTCTATACATCTGACTCTCCTTTTCTGTTTTGCATATAGGGTTATCATTACCATCTTTCTAAATTCCATATATATGTGTTAGTATACTGTAATGGTCTTTATCTTTCTGGCTTACTTCGCTCTGTATAATGGGCTCCAGTTTCATCCATCTCATTAGAACTGATTCAAATGAATTCTTTTTAATGGCTGAGTAATATTCCATGGTGTATATGTACCACAGCTTCCTCATCCATTCGTATGAGTCAGCTCTTCAAATCAGGTGGCCAAAGTATTGGAGTTTCAGCTTCAACATCAGTCCTTCCAATGAACTCCCAGGACTGATCTCCTTTAGGATGGACTGGTTGGATCTCCTTGCAGTCCAAGGGACTCTCAAAAGTCTTCTCCAACACTACAGTTCAAAAGCATCAATTCTTCGGCGCTCAGCTTTCTTTATAGTCCAACTTTCACATCCATACATGACTACTGGAAAAACCATAGCCTTGCCTAGACAGACCTTTGTTGACAAAGTAATGTCTCTTGTAGGGACTTAGATTATCAAAGATTATTTCAGACTTAAGCAACATCATGGTTTGTTTTCATTGATGTCTTGTAGGCGATTAGTTCTCCTGAAGAGATTAGTTCTTCTGAAAATAAGTTCCATATTTCCTATCTAAAATTTTCTGATCACAAATATATCCTAAATGCATATTATAAAATTCTGAATAAAAAAAGTATAATAATGGTCGGATAAGAATGGTGTATTATTGATTCATTTTTTTCTTCTCATATTTTTGCAAAGAGATTTACTCATTAAGGATTAAAAATATTTTTCAAATCCCCAAAACGTTGTCATTACCTCCAGTAGGAGAAATGACTTGATTGCCATTGGCATTGCAATAGAATGGAATCTTTATATACCTTGCCTGTGTTTTATTCATTATTCACTATACCCCCACCCTGTTTTCAGGATGTGGGGATATGGTGATATACCTTGCCTGTGTTTTATTCATTATTCACTATACCCCCACCCTGTTTTCAGGATGTGGGGATATGGTGAAAATCAAGACAAAGCCCTGCCCTCCTGGACTTTATTTCCAAGGTGGGTCTCATTCTCACCCTGAATGTCTGCTCATCTACATGCTTCCCCAAGACCACAGGTGACCCAAGCCTCTACTAAAATGATGTACTTAAGAAAAGAAAGTGTGGTTGGAATCACTGGGAACTGTGTGTGGGAGAAGACCAGTGGCAGGGAGTAAGCAATGATGAAGAAACAAAGAGGAAAGGGGATGAGGTGAAGTAGTAGCATGGTAGAAGAGAATTTTTCCTAGAAACTGTTCTAAAGTTTTCATCTTTCTGAATTTGTTATAAAGGCTAAAGTAACTCAATTTTTAAGTCAAATTTATATTGTCATTGTCATGTATCTCTTTTTACAGTTCTCTTCCTTTTCTGCAACCATGGCAATATAAGATCATATATATGTTTCTTTTTTAAAATAGGGGTATAGCCAAAAAATGTCCAACCTACCACACAGTTGCACTCATCTCACATCTAGCACAATAATGCTCAGAATTCTCCAAGCCAGGCTTCAGCAGTATGTGAACCATGAACTTCCAGATGTTCAAGCTGGATTTAGAAAAGGCAGAGGAACCAGAAATCAAATTGCCAACATTGTTGGATCATCGAAAAAGCAAGAGAGTTCCAGAAAAATATCTACTTCTGCTTTATTGATTATGCCAAAGACTTTAACTGTGTGGACCACAACAAATTGTGGAAAATTCTTCAAGAGATGGGAATACCAGACCACCTCACCTGCCTCCTGAGAAACCTGTATGCAGGTCAAGAAGCAACAATTAGAACTGGACATGGAACAATAGACTGGTTCCAAATAGGGAAAGGAGTACGTCAAGGCTGTATATTGTCACCCTGCTTATTTAACTTATATGCCGAGTGAAGTGAAGTGAAGTGAAGATGCTCAGTGATTTCTGACTCTGCGACCCCATGGACTGTAGCCTACCAGGCTGCTCAGTCCATGGAATTTTTCAGGCAAGAGTACTGGAGTGGGTTGCCATTTCCTTCTCCAGGGGATCTTCCTGACCCAGGGAACGAACCTGGGTCTCCCACATTGCAGGCAGACGCTTTACCGTCTAAGCCACAAGGGAAGCCCTATATGCAGAGTACATCATGTGAAATGCCGGGCTGGATGAAGCACAAGCTGGAATCAAGATTGCCGGGAGAAATATCAATACTTCAGACACGCAGTCTACACCACCTTTGTGGCAGAAAGTGAAGAAGAACTAAAGAGCCTCTTGATGAAAGTGAAAGAGGAGAGTGAAAAAAGTTGGCTTAAAACTCAACATTCAGAAAACTAAGATCATGGCATCTGGTCCCATCACTTTAGGGCAAATAGATGGGGAAACCGCAGAAACAGTGGCAGACTTTATTTTCTTGGGCTCCAAAATCACAGCAGATGGTGACTGCAGCCATGAAATTAAAAGACGCTTACTCCTTGCAAGAAAAGTTATGACCAATCTAGACAGCATATTAAAAAAAGGAGAGACGTTACTTTGCCAACAAAGGTCCGTCTAGTCAAAACTATGGCTTTTCCAGTAGTCATGTATGGATGTAAGAGTTGGACTATAAAGAAAGCTGAGTGCTGAAAAATTGATGTTTTTGAACTGTGGTGTTGGAGAAAACGCTTGAGAGTCCCTTGGACTGCAAGGAGATCAAACCAGTCAATCCTGAAGGAAATCAGTCTTAAATATTCATTGGGAGGACTGATGCTGACACTGAAACTCCAATACTTAGGCCACCTGATGCGAAGAACTGACTCATTGGGAGAGCCCTGATCCTGGGAAAGATTGAAGGCAGGAGGAGAAGGGGACGGCAGAGGATGAGGTGGTTGGATGGCATCAACAACTTGATGGCCATGAGTTTGACCAAGCTCTGGGAGTTGGTGATGGACAGGGAAGCCTGGTGTGCTGCAGTCCGTGGGGTTACAAAGGGTCGGACACAACTGAGCAACTGAACTGAACTGATGGTTGCTTTACAATGTTGTGTTAATTTCTGTGGTACAACGAAGTGAGTCATCTATATGTATGCATATATGCCCTCCCTCTTGAATGTCCCTCCTACCCTGCACTCCTCCTGTCCTATCGTCTGTGACTTCACAGAGCACAGAGCTGAACTCCCTGTCGTACACAGCTGGTTCCCATTAGCTATCTATTTTACCTATGGTAGTGTGTACATGTCAATCCCAATCTCCAAATCGTCACACCCACCCACCCTTCCCCCCATATATGTGTTTTTAAGTGACCTTACTTGGGGTGGGAATCAAAGTTGCAGGATTGAATGGACCTCTCCTTCCCTGGCCCCCTTTTTATTTGAAAGCATGTGCCAGGGCAAGGACAGACTCTGGAGCCCTCCTTCCACAAGTTGTACTTAGACACTCAGGACATATGCTGAGAGTCAAGTAC